GTAAGTCGTTTTTGTGACCCGCTGGCGAGTCATTTTTGCGACCCGCCGACGAGTCGTTTTTGCGACCCGCCGGTAAGTCGTTTTTGCGACTCGCCGGTAAGTCGTTTTTGCGACTCGCCGGCGAGTCATTTTTGCGGCCCGCCGGCGAAGTGTGCTATTCATCCGACGGCGAGTTCGCCGGCGAGTCGTTTGCGACCGTCGCCTGCGAACAAATTGTTCACCAAAACGAGTCGGAAACGACGTCGTTTGGCGAATTGGGAAGCTAGTGGTACTCCACTGTACATGTGTATATGAAAGTATGCATGTATGCGTGTAAAAAATGCCAATTCCAGTTAGTGTTTAACCCATTTTAGCGGACTTAGTTTTTTTGGTTTCAGCTGGTTCCAACTGTTAATGAAGCACAATTTTTATGGTTAATCTTGATGAAAGTTACATGTATCGTCGAGAACATGGTTACATGCAGAATTTTAAATTAATTAATATTATTCTCCATACAAAATGTACAAGTATTGCCATATTCAATGCAAAGTTATGCGAAAATCTAAATATTTCGTAAACGTAGGGTTAATGGTCTCGCGCACGTGCCAATCTGGAGGCGATCGCAGAAATTGAATAATTTGTGTTGACGGAAGCGGCGAGGGGAAGACGAAAGCAGAACAATCGTATATATGTATGTACATATGTGCATTTATAAATGCATACATACTTACATTTTAATTTGTTTGTCTTTTTGGATCCATGAAAAATTTGGTAGGAGAAATAGGTATTGAAATGAAGTTTACAAATATGTGTTTTATAAATTTAGGTTTAGTTATTAATAAATTAGATATGTAAATGACAATGTGGGGGACAAATATGCACATGAGTAGCGGAGCTGTCACCCATCCAATGGCAACTTACACGACTTTATTAGAAAATATTTGAAAACTGAATAAATATTAAATATGTTGAAAAATTTGTTAAATAGTTTCGGCTTAGATTAGCGAGATCTTTACTAATTGCGGCGAAAATCCGACGTTTTCAGATTTTTAGTATTTTTAAAAAAAGTTTCCAAGTCGAAAATAATTAAAAACTGAATTATTTCCATAAATATCGGAAACATGGAAAAAATTCATTTAGACTTTCGTCTTAGTTTAGGGAGATCTCTACAAAAAAAAATGGAAAATAATTCTTTTCGCAGTTTCTTTTTCAAAAAAATTCTAAGTCGAAAAGATTAAAAAACTTAGTTATTTCCATGAATATCGAAAAAGGTGCTTAAATAGTTTGGGCTTAGTTTAGCACAAAAGATTTGAATTTAATTACTAAAACAATAATTTTTTACTAAAACAATTATGTTCACAAAAAATCAAACACTATCACAAAAATCATCAATATTCATATTTAATTAACATTCCAAACGCTCTTGTGAGATTTAGCTCTGTTAACATTCTTCTTTTATGCTTTGTATTTTGCTTTCGCTGTTAAGTATTCCAAATATTTGTCGCTCTTAAAATGCGCTTCGCCAGTTTTGTTGGCTCGAAAAATGTGGCATTCACAGTTTTCGGTCCTTCTCTATACTTTACGTTCTCTGGATCGGGAAGAGGAGTTCACAATAGTAATGATAATCATAATCATAATAATATTATATCAAGTTATTCAACATTTCTTTACTCGCAATATACGTAGTAGGCAAAGGCGACCCCAAATTATAAATAAATAATAAATTGTGAACGATTAAAAGTTAACTGATTTATAATGCTAGGGAATGTTGTCAACAGTTTAAAGTTTTCATTAAGTATTTTTTAAACAGCTTTCATGCGATAGTTTTTTTTATTTTCGTTTCTCTTTTATCATTTTGTTATTTGTTTCGGTAGTTTTTAGCCGACTTCAAAAAAAGGAGAAGGTTATCAATTCGTCGGATTATTATTTTTTATGTATGTTACCGCATAACTTTGGACCACGTCAACTGATTTCCAGGTGATCCCATACTAATTTGGTCATTTAATTTCAATATTTTCAGTCTTTACTTTTAGAAAGGTGATAATCCCATTAAAAATATTTCCAAATCAAGATTACCTTTCCTTTGGCACCCATATTATACCTCAAGCAAATTTTCTGCTGTAAGCCATCTTAAATCTCTTTATATATATATAACGGGTGATTTTTTTGAGGTTAGGATTTTCATGCATTAGTATTTGACAGATCACGTGGGATTTCAGACATGGTGTCAAAGAGAAAGATGCTCAGTATGCTTTGACATTTC